TGGCAAAGTCTCATTTTTCAATAATTTGCAATTTGTAAAAAAAATGCATGATTGTTTATAGAAGATGAATTATGCAATAGCTTATGGACTAGATGATATACACTGTATAATGAGTAATGACTATAATGGTGTCTTGAAAGAAATACATTAATCAAAAAAACAAAGGATTTAACAATTCAAAATTAAGAAAAAGAATGTCGCTTATTAATATAATAATAAAGCAGTATATTTATTATATCGTTATTAAACTACTAGAATTTATGAAAAAACGAACAGATATCAACGTAGAATAATATGAATACCACAAAGTAATATATATTCATATATTTTGTATAATCATGTATACAATTTGAGTATATTTGTGAGGATGAATAATTTCTAGTTTATTTTCCTTTAATACTAGTGTGTGTGTGTGTGTGTGTGTGTGTGTGTGTGTGTGTGTGTGTGTGTGTGTAATAATCCTTTAAAAGCATTTGAAATAAGTACCTATACTACAAAATTAATTCGAAATTATATTTTAACTCATAATATTTTAATTATAAATTTTTTAATTACTGAAATTACTACCTATTTATAGTATTATACACATGTAAAATTGTTTACAATATACTATATTGTTTTGTTGAGTGTGGACGTATTTATAATTATTGTCACTTGAACTATATCTTGTTATAGTTTTCATCAAGTTTAAATAATTGAACCGTGCAGTTTTTTAAATAAAAATTATATTTAAAATGTTCAAATAATGAATTGTAAAACAAAAACAAAATAATAATAATAAAATATAATTTATAAAGGAATATATTATCCGTGTTGTTATTCCGGACCATTTCTTTTGAACAGAAAATCACGTTTGATATGCGCATAGTAATACATTTATTAAAGTGTTTAGAATAATAACTAGTTAACGAACTAGGTACGATTCATTTAATTTTAAATAAAATTTTATCATAATATTATGATAATATTTTTAGATTCTGAGCGGAGCGATGAATGTATTGGTTTTACAATGATGTATGTTTTTATATTTTTATATTTTTATATTTTTATATTTTTATATTTTTATTTATATTTTTGTGTCTGTCATCACGTTTTAGGACAGTAAAAGTGCTTGGATTTTCTTCATCAGTAGCTTTTCTGATAGGAAAGTGAATCTAGTTGGTACTTTGGGGGGTCAAAAGTATAAATTTCCCAGTAGTTTTCACAAGCGCCGGGAAAAACAACATAAAAATTAAGGAAAAACGGGAATTTTTACGCAAAATTGGTTTTCCAAAAAATCGATTTTGGTTATTGGTGTAACTCCAAAACAAATGAACGTATATGCATGAAATTTTCACTGGTTGTTTATATTTGCATTTTCTATACACGATAACATTTTCAAAATATTTTGATTTATTTTGAACTGTTTAGGGACATTTTCATTTTCCATTTTTTTTTAGTTTTTTTTCTAAAAATATCAATAAAATTTTATTTATTGGTTGCGAAAGCTTGAAAATTTAATAGAAGGCTCCTAATATGTTGTTTCAAAGGCAGATGAAAAATATTAAAAATCCTTAGTCACAATTTTTTTTTATAAGCATTTAAAGTTCAAAAATTGACAAAATATGGAAAAATCACGAAAATTAGCAAATTATTTTGAGTTAAGAATTCGTAAAAATTTTTCTTTTTAAATCTAAGATTTGAAAATGAAACACAAGATTCCTTATAAGATTATCTACCTTTATCAATAAAAAAATCTCTACCGGACAGTCAAATTAAATTTTTATGAGCGTTTGAAATTCAAATTTTTACAACATTGGATTTTCACTCGATTTCTCATGTAGCGATTTCCTTATTTTGTGGTAATTCAAAAACGAATAACTGTAGATACATGAAAATTTCATTGAATGTTTATATTAGCATTTCCTATACACCATACAATTTTGAAAATATTTTGACTCTTTTTGAGCTGTTTATGGACATTTACAGCTTTCAATTTTTTTTAGTTTTTTTTTCTATAAATATCAATAAAGTTTTATCTGTTGGGCCAAAAAGTGTAAAAATTTAATACAAGGCTCCTGATATATTGTTACAATATCAGTTGAAAAATATTAAAAATACATAGGCACGATTTTTTTTTATAAGCATTTAAAGTTGGAATTTTGACAAAATTTATCAAAATCTCGAAAATTATCAATCGTTGGAATTAAAAAATTATAAAATGTTCAGTTTTTATAACTAAGAGTTGAAAATTTAAAACAAAGATTCTCTTAAATAATTCATACTGTAACCAAAAAATCTAAAAAATATATAAACACACTTATTTTTACAGACATTTTAATTTCAAATTTAGACAAAATTTCATATTTAAACCAAGAATTACGATTTTAGTTATTTTGTTGTGATTGAATAATACTATTCGTGGGTACTTGAAACTTCTAAAGTGTACTATTATATATCTATGATAGTATCACGGTTTTTGTTGATGTATAACGCGTTATAAGTATCTAATGGATATTGTGATATGATTAATTTGGAATTGATTATAGGTCAATTTTTTGTTTAATACCATAGATATGTATATAATATGCCTTATACATAGACTGACATACCATCACCGCTCAGAATCGTTTTTCTTATACAATGATATTATATCATTGAATTCAAATTTAATACCATCCATTATACAGTGACCCACTTGTAACCTACTGTACAGCAGAGCGACACCCACTTGCCCACCTTTTTTCATATTATATTTTTTAATTTATTTTAATGTACCTATCCCTATCGGTATATAGGTAAACTTTGATATAAAAAAACAATATCAATTATTTTAATAGGTACATGGTATATTTTAATGATTTTCTGGATACCTCATAGCCCATAGGTATCTATAGTACGATGTAATATAATCGAGTATGTATACAATTTAAGTGAATTTAGTAAATACAAGATATTTCTATAAAGACTGAATACAATTTAAAGTATCACAGAACGAAGAAATATTACTAATAACTTTAATTTTTTACTGGTGAATTGTGATTTAATTTGAAATATATAAATAAAAACATATTAAACGTGGATAATGCGTGTAAAAAAAGATCTAATGTTGTAAGTTTAATTATAGGTACGTCTAATATAATGTATTTCAGGCAATAACCATATATCCGTAAAATTATATAGTATACAATCGCGAACATTACGATATTTCAAAATGTGTCTATGTAATAACTTTTATTCTAATCAATTTAAATTTAGTTTTTGTGATCGTTGAAGGTATGTGTGATTATTTTGTGTTGACTGTGTAATGTGTATTGAAATAAATTTAAATATTCTAAAAAAAAAAAGAAATTACATAGGTATAATAATTAATCAATACAATTATTGTCAGTTATTTCCGTCGCAACCTGCCTATATGTATATAGTTATACATATGTTTAATGATTGATATGTTTATGATGTATAATATTATATTAGTTGACAGAACTTATAGTATTTATTCAATAATTTATATTTTGTGATCCGTGTAAAATTTAAAGAAAACAACTCAATATACTAGATTACAAAGGAGAAAAGCAGACAGTTGAGATTCAATCAGATATCGCCATGAATACGTTTCAGTGTACAGTAAAAAGAAGATATTATTATGTCGAAAGAAACACGTATGGTACGTGTATGCGGAAATGATAGACTACTTTTTTACGGTACTAAGGATACCAAAAAGTGATGGAGTTTGGAAAAAAAAATCACGTTTTGCGAACGAAATGCTATTGATAAACCTATTGTATATCGGTAGGTACCTTTTTTTGTTGACATTATACTACTCTATTCGGATATGATTCTATACCTTTTAAAACTTTGAATGAACGATTGTCAGAAAAACATGATTTAGTATAATAAATGTGTAAAGAACATATTATTATATATTTGTAATATTAATTAATGTAGTTTATTATTGTCTATTATTGATGTAGATACATTTAATATAATTTAAATTTGTTTAGCGAACGTTCGCTATAGGTAACAGTAAAACCAACGTTCAGAGCATAACTTACCTATATTGTACATATAAGATATAAGAACGTGTACTAAGTTTTATATTCTAATATACTGACAGTAAAACGGTAATAATATTGTTATGTAAATACCTATTCCGTTTTCAAAATAATTTCCTGTGAATATAATTTACCCTGCAGGGACTCATACTGCGGTCATTAATATCTCGACAAAATGTAATTTCCAACTTGGGAACAATGTAAAAAAATATGGACTGAAATAGAATTATAATTTGTTTATAAATGGAGTTTGTATTTTAATATATTTTTTTAACATTTCATTCCTATCTGTGATACTTATACGTTTTTCAGAGAATTTTTTATCCAACAGACGACGTGTTACTTTTAACTGAACAAGTCTTGTCATTTTTCTAGAATTCTGAATAGGGCGTATAAAGCTGGATAAGACCCTAAACGTTTTCGAATATAATGTAAAATTAATGTTTTTTTAATGGGAAATATGAAATGGACACGATTTGTTATATACCTATAGGTTTGAATGCATCAACAATTATTTTCTAAAATACATTTTGAAACTACATGTACCTATGTATAGCATCTACAATTCTGATATTTAAGACGAATGTTTAATATGCTATGGTAAACAGCCTACAAGAATTTATTACGATTATTGATTGTGTTTAAGTTTAGAACACGAGCGCTTTCTTATTATAGAAATCGGTTGAATTTTTTCAAAGTAATCGAGACGAGCGAAAAGTGGACTTCGCGTTTAATAATTAAATTAGCGTAGATAAGTATTTTAGTTCTGTAAACTGCAAACGTTAACGAGCTTTAAAGGTACATATATTTATATATAAAGTGAAAAAGATTGAGAGAGAGATAGATAGATGTTATTGTTACAAACTATGGGCTATCATATGTCTGTAGATCACGTGAAATCGTCTGACCTGCGTACTTAGCGAGTATTTTTTTTTTCTCTCTGCTAGTGCCTGTATTATTATGGGTTTATTTCTTTTTCGCACGAATAACAAATAATACCCATTTGCTCATGACATAAATGATGGCAGTAGGAAAGGAGGGCAAAGCGATGGTCAGTAACCCCTGGTCTGGGACGTTCGCGTTTCGTAAATTTAGGACGAGCGGAGAACTACCCTCCTGCTGCACCCGGCCGACTACAACTACGTCGTAACGGCAACGAGACCGATTCGGATGAGGATAGAACGTGGGTGGTGATGATGCTGCTGCCCAGGCGTGTGGGTGCGATGGAGGGGTGGTGGTATACGGCATATTGATCGAGGGAGGTTTTACGTAACTCTATACGCGGCTCCACCCGGTCGACACGCCGCCGGAATATGATTCCCACGCACCCACATTTCTACCCTCCACCCCTAGACCTCAAATTGAAAACGACGCTATAAAATACACACACACACACACACACACACACACACACACACACACACACGCTGCACATGTATGTATTATATGTACGCATGGACATATCCAAACGAGGATACAGATGAAGACCATTCGATCAAAATGTGAATGTTATACACTGTAAAAGATTGAAAGCGTATAATTTATTTCCGCGTGAATGTGTCACTGGTATAATAGCTGTCGCATAATATAATATATATGACCGCATGTACAAGCATTTCATATATTATTACGAATACGGAATTGCGATGATAACCATTTGCAATGCAACAATATAGCCAATAGGTACTTGATAATAAAAACTACTTAAGTGTACAATTAGTAAATGTATTGGAACATAATAATATGTTAGCAAATGTTCACAACTGTGAACGATTAATAATATGAAAATTCAACACTTTTACGATTTCCTGAAAAATATACTCTACCATCATCGGTACCATAAAATTATTTCTCTATTTCTGTCTGTTTATTCTACCAATGTCCAATTTTCAAATGATAGTCTTAGGGCTTCGTGAAACGTTCTAATCAGATACCTCGGGAATTGCTTTTCGAGAGAAAACAAAATACTACGCGTCTGGGTCCATAATAATAATAATCACATACTACAAGATGAAAATGTTTGTATAATGTATATATTCTTATTTTGACTCAAGCGAACTTTATACCCAAACACTAATATTGTAAATACACGTTTTTTTTAACATATTCGTTATTTTTTTTTATTTTTGCTTCAAGTAAGTGGGTATCATCTACCTGCAGTGATTAAATGTTTGTACCCAACATAATTCTGCAGTGTATAATTGAAATTTCGATCAGAAATTGTGAAACTCAAAACGTACCTACCTAATAGAAACGACCGCGATGATCCGTGGCCTTCCCTCTGACCAGTGCCTATACCGTCACATAAAATTGACCCTACTTTACTCGTGCAGTCGTGCATACAATATCTAATTACGGCACGTGTTTACAATTCTATATAGGTATACGCTGAGTTCCAGATAACTTCAAAGAGACACACTATGTTATGTTCAACATGTACGTCCTTGTGACGTTTATAATGAGACCTATACGCGTAGACCGAATACCGTGGTTACAGATATGGAGAGGACCCGTGGACACTTGAATTTCGTATAAAGGTAGAATTTTGGACAAACCACTTGCGCTCAGCGTACTGTGTACGCCTGTACAGGTTATTCATCGAGGATGTCCTATCCCCCTTGAAGTTATTCAAAATCCGATTTTTGGAGTTTTTAAATAGGTACCCTCAAAGAACGATTCATTAAGCCAAGTTTCAGTTAAAACAATGAAATGATAATTACAACTAAGAACATTACACTTAACATTTAAAAGTTTGGTACGAAAACTGATAGATAACTTAACTCACTACTTTTACTCATGCCTTGGGTTGAGGTGGTAAGCGGTATCCGTTTTTTGACATGTCTGAAACAACCTTTGGTACACTATTCACTTATTTAATGTGGACCCCAGATTCACCACGATTAACTCGCTTGTCAAGTTCTGAGTGGCACGATCTTTATAGCTCACGTTGAAGAGGAGTCTTGTCCGTGACAATACGAAAGTCATGGGGAAATTATACACCAACCAGTTTTGCGTCATTGAATGACTCCAATAATTGAGATGTTTTGGATTTAGACTTCATATTGATTTTCAGTGGACGGGGGTTTTCTGCTCGTATTTTACTTAGTTGGAAGACTTTGGAGAAAGCCGGGGAGATATTTGACTTCTCGAAGAGAGTAAGCAGTTCGGTCTTGTCATCTTCAATACGCTGGGGTATGGTAGAAGACACGCGCTCAGGAAGACCGTACACTAAGATATTAGAAAGGCACTTTTCAAGCTCAAAATTTTCCTGCATGACTTGCGAAACGATGGTTGACGTGTTATCAGACGGTATCTAGAACTCAAAACTCGCCACTTTCTCCTTGAGCACATCAACTTCAACACGAAGTGCAGAATTTTTATTTTTAAGTTCAGCAACAAGACCAGACCGACCCTTAAGGTCATTTCTAAGATTATTAAATTGCTTAGCTTGCACTTCAGACTGAGCTTTAATAGATGTAGAGAAGTCTTCCTGGAAGGACTAAAAAGTAGCCATGACATCATTGATAGAAATTATTCCTTCAACTTGTTCCGCTTGAGTCGTATGTTTGGAGGAAGAAGCAGATGTTATTTGAACTGAGTGTTTCTCAAATTAGAGGTACCAATTACGGGAGTTTTGCTAGTGTGCATTGTGTAACGTAACTAGAGGTACTTCTAGGATTAGTGGTGAAGAACAATGATAACTGACGTTTGGGGCTCCAGAAATTTTTCCGCAAAAACAGTAGAGAAGAAAGTCGAACGGCTAGGCGCCCAGCGCTTAAACCAATTATAATGCTATAATCAACAAAGCGCTTGTCAAAGTTTCGATAGGCAATATACGAAATAGGTGATATAAAAAGCCAGTCACTGTGTCACTCTGTATACCGGGGATTACTGTGCACACAGTGTATGAAGCGTGCGAGACATGGATGTAATCGTACCGAAAAGTTAATTACGTTGCGGCGCAAGATAACAGGTTCGGTTTTGCGAACTTTGTGCTCCGATAAAAATAAGATTGAAACTTAAGTTTGACGTTTCCACTGTGGCTGTGTATAAAGTCGGAGTTGCTAAAAACTGCCCTTAGGGGGAACATTTTTGGTCAGATCGACGCGAAAGCGACACCGATCTGAACGCGCACTTTTTATTAAACGGTAGAAACAATGAACGTAAAAAACGGTTCACTATTACAGAGGCGGTCGGAGAAAACATCGGGAGCGAATGTTATGAGTGCAGCGCTATCAGAATGTGTATATATGACATGGGTACCTAACCTATAATACTGTATATCTACGTGCGCAGTGACTTTAATAAAATATTACAACTTTCAATCGTCCTGCACTGCGTAATTAGATATTGTTGTTGTTATTTGACTCACACACCTTTTGCTCCCCTTGTAAACAATTGGTAACTGCGTATACCTGGCAGAGTTCCCAAAGTAATTTAATTTTCATCACTCTACAAATACCAAGTAAACGGTCACAATGAGAGCTTTATTTTGAGTGTTATTTGTGTTCAAAATAACAAAAAACACATCCAGACGTCCGAACAAATAACGGCTACCTATAATACTGTTAAAATATGATACTTCAAAGTAAAAAGTATTTATTATAATATAGGTAGGTACTCGTTAATTTAATTTCTCACATTTTATTTGTGTTCACTTCCAATTATTTTTTACATCTTGTTGTTTTTTGTTACCTTTTTGTTACCGTCAGAACACAGATTATTATAATGTTAAAATATAGAACATAGGTAAACCACAAGTTGTACCTAATTTGATATAGTTGAGTATTATACGGGTAGGTACATTACATTAACAATTAATCCTGTAGCTAACCATTAGGTACTTATAATATTATTTTGAGCACTGTACGTCTGTACTTGTATGGTATTCCAGTTTATGGAACTCAATGGCTATGTACTTAAAATGGTAAAATTATTTTTATCCTAGATAATTTTTATACTAATAAAAACGTAATTGAATTAAAGTAAAATACCTACCTACTAAAATTAATAATGATGAATGAAAAGTGGTTTTTCATTCGCATTTCGAAAAAAAAATTACGAAATATTATTCAATAAAAATATATTTGAGTTCGTTTCTTTTATTGGAACAATACAAATTTAAAGAATGAAAACTTAATAATATACCCACATAATTTTACTTTCGATAGTAATTAGCACATAACAATCAAATACAAATTAGATTTTGTAAGCTTGATTTTTATTTACTATTAAAAGTTAAAACTAACAAAAAAGAAAAAATAATAATAATAGGTACCTAAAAGGTATACTATAGGTATATATTATTAAGTATAAGACTAAAAGTATCTAGGTATATATAATTATAAGTTTACTCATTTTAATTTAAGTAAAATTTCTATTTTTTGTACCATTTCGGATTATTACTAAATTGAGAAAATGTGTTATCTAGACAGCCGATTTATTGATATATTTTTACATAAGTGCTTAAAGTGATTAGATATATAGGTACCTATTGGTTTATATTTACCGTTTCAACAAATAATAACGATTCAATGTTTTTAGTTTCGTTTAATTATTCAAAGTCCATAAATGTTTAAATTAAATAGATTGAGAACATTCATATAACAATAGATGGAAGCTTATCCTCTGATTACCATAAATATTTAATTTTCATTTAGTTATTGAATTATAATTTCTATATTTTACTACTAATCACCTCGAAAATCAAAACTACCATTTATAAGTAAATTAACTATTAAGTGATCTTATGAAACATGAATATAATAAATAATAAGGTAATAACAAAGGTAAACCTTTAGCTAGTTTAGGTAGTATTACAGTTTTGTTAATAGCTTAATTATTAATGTTAGGTAAATTATATCAATCATCACAATCATGCTAATATTGTAAATAAAAAATAAAAAGGTTTAACATGCTTTTTAAGTCATTTCCTTCTATAAACTGTTGGGAGTCTATTATTATTAAATGAAAGTTTAAATGGAATTTACCCCGAAGTTGTTAAATAAATTTACCTGTTCTCTTCTTCCACTCCAACGTCCGTCCTAATTGTCAGTTTTACGGTTGCATTAAAAGTAAATGAAAAATCAAAATAATTACAAAAAAAAGGAAATCATGAAACAGTATATATAAGGCACCTGCTGAGACGAAAATAATTTATCATATTTAATCTTTCCTTTCCTTTTCTTTCTTATGGGTACGCAAAAATATATACATAATATTATAAAATGTTCTTGAAAATAAAAATGTATTTACATTAATGTGTATATCAACATTATATTGGAAATTGAAAACATTTATGCATATCATTAACGTATATTTATGAATTTATAATACCTATCCGAAAAATATTATACATCAAAATGTGATAAAATCTGTGGATCTAAAACCAGTCTTGTAGGTAATGTATAAACAAATATAATATGTGTGTGTGTTTCAAATATAATGAATTATTATTACACACATTTCTAATTGCAAAAAATTGAAAATAATTATGATATTAATATATTATTAATTTATTCATAATAGTAATAAATCATTAAACAATGTGTAATATCGTTTAAATTACTTTTGATCTAACACTTTTTTTTATCACCCTGATAAAGAAATCTATTCATTCATAATTGCAAATAAATATATAAACAAAATAGTTACATATTGAATGTTTGGATATTTCAATATTGTTGATAATTGATAACATATCATCTATACGTCTTATTATGTACTTCGTTGTACGAATAAACGTAGTACAATATTAACATAAATTTTATGTAGGTGTATAAAAACAAATTTTGTTAATATTATTTTTTAAGTTTTAAATTACATATCCAAGCGCATTCATTATTATTATATGTAGTTCTAATATATTAACTCGACCCACTAACCAACAGTTTACAAAATAAATAACACGATTAAACACGTTAAATTTAAATTGAAGTAACTTGATATATAATTGCCTTATATTAGTTGAAAAAACTCATCAGGCAGATAGGTACCTATATTTATTTATTGATAAAGTGGAAATAACTATTTTACATAAAATAATAATATCACGCACACATGGTTGCCAATCAATGATTGTAGGGGGAAATGGGAGGGACATGCCCCACTCTGGATAATAATAAAATATGCAAAAAAATTCAATACATATTATGTTTTTCAGTTATTGATTATTGATGTCTGAGACCTGCTTAATATTGTGTTTTTTAATCTTTGCAACCAAAGTTTGTAAAATAAAAAGTGTATAGGTACTGGATTGTTAATTGTTTCATGTTTTTGATTGTCTCAGCCCTCAATATTACCTATGAGTTTAGGACCACAAATAACTGACCACTAACAAAATAAAATAATAATTTAATAGTCATTTTACTAAATAATAATACTTCAGAGGAAACCAATTTAAGAATTTAAGATACAAAAGTTAAAAATGAATGGTTTAATTTGGTATAATTACTTGCAATTAAAATCAAACACTTACTTAAATAATAATATTACAATAGATTAGATTAGATTAAATGTGTGCATTTTTTCTTGAAGTTAAACGTTGGTTTATTGGGAAATAATTGAGTATAAACAAACTGAGTACATTGGAAATTTTATAGATTAATTTGTAATTTTTATTTCCACATTATGATTTTAATATAATTATATAATCATAATAAAATTGCTGTTTGTTAAATGTTATTATATAAAAATTTTAAAACTAAATTACCTAACTGTCTACTCAAATTCTATAATTTAACGAATAAACATAGTAGAATATTATTACATAATGTATTTAAAAGATTTTTAGAGTTAATGTTTACATTATTACATACCTTTTCTTCCTTATTCTCTTTCAAGTAAAATCAACCTAGTACCTACCTATATGATATAGATGGGTTTAGGAATCTAGTTTCATTTTGTCCTTCCCTGAAAATAACCCTAGGCACCCTTGCTCTCACAAGTGTCGTAAATATTTTCAAGAGTTTTTTCTTTCAATGGTACTATACCTATCTAAATAATCTTAGTTTGGATATTAAAAAGGTGGGTAAGTGGATGTCGCTCTGCTGTACTGTAGGTTACAAGTGGGTCACTGTATAATGGATGGTATTAAATTTGAATTCAATGATACAATATCATTGTATAAGAAAAACGATTCTGAGCGAAGACGGTATGTCAGTCTAGGTTTAAGACAAATTATATACATATCTATGGTATTAAAAAAAAAATTGACCTATAATAAATTCCAAATTAATCATATCACATTATCACAATATCCATTAGGTACTTATA